CCCCATGCAGTCTTTTCCTCACCATTCCTATGGGAAGAGTCCACCCGGCTCGCCTGCTCCTGCTCCCCCATCTCCTCCCTGGCAGTTTGTCTCTTTGCCGCTGTTGGCTTGCTGTAAGGGGTTAATGCTGGGTTTTTATCTTTTTTTTTTTTTTTTTTTTTTTTTTTTTTTTTTCCTCCCCTGTGAAATTGCCATTGCTGGAGGCTAGAGGTAATATTTATTTTTATTACAGTGTCAGCACGGTGTTGTTAGAGGCTTCTCACCTCTGGCCCACAAGGATGTGTATGTTAGTCCCAAACCAGTGTTGACATTGCTGCGTTGCATTATTGAGTGCCGTTGTTAAGCTGCGATGTCATACAAAGGTCCATGCCGTCTGGCTGGGGAGATACTGAACAAGCTATGGCACTTAATTTACTGGACAAAACCCTACAGGTTTCTAAAGCCATATGTACACCAGATGTCACTAAATACTTTTATCCACTGCTTTTTGTTGCTTCCTTTTTTGCTGTGCCTCAGTATTTTTATATTAATTTTACAATATTTTAATAAACCTTTTAAAATGGTCTTTAGTTTGTTTATTTGGGGCTTGTGGTTTGGGGGGGTGTTTGATTGGTTTCTGTTGGGGTTTGGTTTGGGTTTTTTTGCAAAGGACTTGAAGCAAGTCTGAGCAGTGCTTCAATGGAAAATACACAAATGGGGACCCACTCCTTACAGCAAGTGCTTTGGTCTTAGGATTGACATCATTTGCTAATGAAGACCATTTGAAAAAAGCCAAACGTTAAAACTTGGGGATGAGTTGCGTGGTTAAATTGCATCAAAATTCTTCCTACATCTTTTTCCTATTGGATGGTAGGTTTATTTTCATCCTGATGTGGTTGAAGGGGAGGGAAAACAATTATGTAAAGGTAATACAGTTCATGTGATAATGACTATGTTTTGACAACACTGTCATTGATATTATAGAGCGTTTTTTAACTTAGGATAGAATTTTAAACTCCAGCTAATGTCCGCAAAATGGTGCTTTGGGCTCTTTGGTCCTGAAACAACGAATTCAGGTGGGATTACGCTGACCTGCTAATCTGCAGCGTTCATCCTTTTCCAATAGTTCGCACACAGGAGCAAATTAAGTGCCTATTTTTTGTGTCAGCCCTGAAGAGTATCTGGTTTTTCAGCCCTTAGTGACTTGTTAACAAACAGGTATCAGGACAGGCTGGTGAAGGCAGGCCGCTGGCCAGTCAGATGTGAAATAGCATCTCTTTACTAACTACAGTATTGATTCCCGCCTACCCCTGCAAACTGTGTAATTTTCTTTTCCCTGCTGCTAAACTCAGTAACAATGTATGAAGAGCTTTAGGGGCCCATCAATGCTCAAAAAGGCTGCTCTTCCCTGGCATTCTATTGATTTTTCTCAAAAGCTTTTAAATTGCTCCTTCATTTTACTCAAATGCTCATTTCATCTCTACTGGATGCCGGCGTTTTTTCGTTGTGTTTAAACAATTGCTCCATTCACTGGGTTCCTAAACTGTGACGCCTTCTTATTACTGGGAGATAAACTGTTTAGACAGTTTTCCTTAATCTTGGATTAATCGTTCCTGTATCTGAATTGTGCTGTTCTGTATTCCTTCACTTAAAAAAAAAAAAAAATAAAGTCCGTGAGGTCTTATGATCTATCAAGTATATGTGGTCTATTTTCTCCCTCTGTACTCCTCCTGCTCAGTTCTTGCACAGCTTCATTTTCCTCGTGCTTTTTGGTGTGTTGGATTTTAATCTGTCCTTGCTCTCACATATCATAGTAGCTTAGATCTAACCTTTCCTTGGAAAATTGCTCTGGTGTTCCTAAACACCATGTTCTTAAATGGGGACATTGCCTCTGACCTTTCTGACACGTTATTGCCAATATTTGTCACATTGTGAGCATCTTGGTATATAAGTGAAATTGTATAGTCGTTTAGGACTGTTTATTTTTCTGTATCTACATTGATGTTAAATACAGGTAGTAGACATTTGGTGTTACAATTTCTGCGGGCAAGAAAGGCTGACTGACATATGGGAAACTATATGACAAATGGGTGGCAATTACTGGTTGTTAAAATACGTGATTCTGATGTTTATGCTGAGTTTGGACCATGTTACTCTGAAGTGGTTCTTGCTACATTTTTTCCAACCTGTATGTCAAAATCTTTGTAATGCAATGCCATTTTTCTAAATTTCCACTTGAAGATACCCATCCTCTAGCCACATTTTTACTTTCTGCCTTGTACTATGTTACCTTGTTTTGATACGCAAGGCTCTACACTAAAGGTGAAAGACCACTGCTTCCTAAAGAGTTTACAGTCAGGATTGTGCATGCTTTTTCCATGGTGGCATCTATGATTAGAATCTATTTAGAGTGTATGGTTGGATTCTGAAGCATTAAGGTTTTGATAAAACTGTAAAACAAGTCTGTGATGAGATAAATCAACTATTGTGTGATTGTCAAGAGAAGAAACTTGGTTTGGATAATTAAACTGAGGAAATATAGGATACCTAAAAAGTAGTATCTTTTTCAGATGCAAGATTGGGGCTCATGGCAACAGGGTCATGTTGTCTTTCGGGCATGCTATTTAGGTGTCCAATGCCAGTTCACGTTTTGAAGCAGATCTGATTCTTTGATGCAGAAAAGTTACAATGTTGTCACCCCCACTCTGCTCAAAAGTTGACATATTCCAACTTTTTAGGTTTATTTTTAAGCTTATTCGGAATTTATTTCTGAATATAAGTCCCTCAGCTACACTGTTGGTATTTTGTTCAATTTCTAAATAATAATCACTGTGTTCATGTCACCTCTACTACATGGAATAGTTTCCTTGGAATTTTGCTACTGTGCTACTGAGAAAACTTGACTTAAGTCTTCCTACAGAGCAGTTTTAGCCACTAATAATAGGTACTAATCCCAGACTGGCAGGGGGTTTTTCATCCAGACCTGTCATTTTGGCGAACTGCTTTATCCTCCCCTTCCTTCGCGTATGCAACTTACAGCAGTGACTCTGTCCTCGCCTAGCGGTGACAAGACCCCATACCTTAGGAGACTGCAAATTCTACCTGGGTTTGGAGTTTCAAAGGGCATGCTTTTTCTTTTAAACAGAGTGGCGGGATCCAGAGTTCATGAGAGAAGTTGAAGCAGCTACAGGAGTGGATCTTGGTTCCTCTAAAAATAATGAAAAAGGAGGGAAAAAGAAAGGGAAGAAGAAAAAATATCCAAATCTGACAGACCTGAAGCAGCAAGCTAACACCTCTCGTTCCCGGCTTGAAAAGAAAGTTTTCAATAAGTAAGATGCTTACGTTCTCTAAAGCCTGTTAAGTTGCTGTTTCTCTTTGTTTCAACAGTACTTTCTGTTTCTACATTAATGTGCCTTTGCTAAACAACTTTGCTAACTGCAGAGCAGAAATGCTTTCCATGTCTCTGGAGGTTAAAGAGTAGCAGGTACTGATGACCGGCGTTATTTCTTTGAGAATCATTTCCAGCTAATTTACAAAATTTCCTTATGAAAGACTTTTTTTCTCAATTTATTTTTTTTTACTCCTTTAATTGCTGTAGTGGATCTCTGGATGATCATTATTAATCAGATGGGTGCTACTTTATGTGTGCAAACAGTACTAGATCTGGAAAGAGGATAACGTGTTCAGAGTGACACAACTTAAAAGCATCAGACACACTGTGGTAGTGTAGAGGGAGTGATAATGAAGTTATTCCTTTGAAAGCCCAATATGGGCTGCCCTGAGCTAGAACTTCGATTAATAAAAGGATCTGCCAAAAACCCTTGGCTTTTGTCATGTAGCAGTGGCTTGGCAGTTGCCCTCAAGCCTCTGGTGTATGCTCAGAGACCTTCCCAAACTTCTGACTGCTGCCTGGGTGTCCTGTGTATTTTTTCTCACTCTTGGGAATACTGAATTGCTGGCTGGGCCTGATGCAGTTGCCTTCCAGTCCAGTACATACACGCAGTGATCCCTTCCTGTGTATTATTCAGTGACACACTGTCATTGCATTTTTCTCCTTCTCTACAGAAAACGCATTCAGTTGATTAAGAAAAATATTTGGAACCTTGTGTTAGGGTCCTTGTTCACTTAACCCCCACTGTCTTTTTTTAAATATCAAGGACTGGAACCTGCTGCAGGTCTTTCTTTAGTGTAAGAGTTTGGAGGTGATTATTCCCTGTACCAGAGACACGTGGACACAATATTTTTCCCGCAATGGTGCTCTTTCTATACATCTCCCTTTCCTCCCAGCAGATGTGCAAACAGTAGCTCTTGGCCTGCGTTTAGCTGGGGAGGAAACTGTTTGGATGGCAATGGCATTTAGACATTTCAAACAAAGGGGTGCCCATGACTTCTGGAGACATACATGAGTTAACTTTAAAGGAGGCATGCTAGCTCAGCTGGACGTGGGAGCCTACCAAGCCACCAAGCTGAATGGGTTTTAGAACGCCTGGTCGCTTCGTATGTCCACTCTGTTACGCTGTCTCTGATAGCTAGTCTTGGTTAGATGTGGCTGCAACATAAATTTGCCTAAGCATGCTCTGGTCTTTATCAAATGGGAAGCAGCTGCAGCTATTTAAAGAGTTTCACATGTCAAAAATGAAGTAGTCAAAGGAAAGTGAAAAGTCTAATGCTGTCAAATCAAAAAAGCAAAATTATTATTATGAAATAATCAATGCTGGATTATTCCCTCGACATTTTGGATGAGTTGAACAGCATCCAAGGCCCGATGTTTGTTTAAACTCTATTTTTCCCTTTTCTGATGTAATGGTTTTACTAACAAAGCTAAATCCACATTGCTTTTAGTTACAGAAATAGCACGTTTTCTGTGAAATTCTCATGTTACCTGATCTTAGTTAGAAGTCACAGACATACAGTTCTAATGATCAGAATTTCATATCGGCTTTAACAAAATAAATTTAAAGAGCTGGTTTTGGTTTACTATGGTTTTTGCTAATGATTTTGAGTGTGTGTTAGTGCCAGGCATAGGGAATCAAACCTGTCATGTTTTAATAGGTTTCATGCTCTGCAGCACTAAACAAGATGATAACCTTGGCTCCTTATAACAACCCCAAATTACTTGAAATGTATAGGTGATAAACCCAGGCTCTAGTCTGCCAATAAAGTTAAGTGAAATTGCACACAGATCATCAAAGTGGGATCTCATTTCATTTACAGTATCGCACAATCCAGTGGTGCTAATGTAAAACCTACATGACATGAAAGTGTCAAGGCCACTCTGCGCTGCTAAAGGCTCACTTTTCTCCTACCAATTAGGCAATATTTGAAGTGCAAAACCATGACCACATTTTCCTTACTCTGGTAACTTTATTGGCAGAATTTTCTTAAAAGTGTACCTCTTCCAAGGTGTTTTTTCAGAGCGTTGGTTTTCATTACAGTTGCTGCTGAGAAAATCTTTAATCCCACCATTTAGAAGCATTATTAAGAAGTATCCTCTGTTTTCAGATGTTTCAAAATGGCTTTCAAAATGAAGCCGTTACAGAGAGTAGTTATCTATAACAGAAGTCAAGTTGCCTCTCAGAGATAACCACAGGAGCAGAGCTGGAATAGTGGGCAGGGCCTGATCCTGAAAAAGGCTGGTGCACGCTACCAGGTGGATGTCTTGTCTTCATTTTACTGCACAGCTTGCAGCACCCTCAGAAGTGATAAAGGCAGACTGTGACAACCTAGAGTCCAACAGCACTAGACTTGAAGCCATCCACTTTGCATGATGGAACTTGCCGACTGCATTTCTGATATAGAAATCAAAGGAGATGTCAGTCAGTGCCATGTTCTTAAATGGGACTTAGTCCCTCAAACCAAGCCTTTAGCTGGCGTACCTCCTGTGCTGGCAGAGCATCTGGGTCTGCAGAGGTGTGTTAGGAGAGAAGTTCCTTCTTCATAAACAGAGGCAGGGTGACATCTGAACACACCTGCAGATACCAGCCTCGGATTTCTGAGCTTTTGTGCTAGAGGCACCCAAAGTAACCAATAAAAGTGGGAACTCTAGAATCCAGTGAAGAACCAGATTCCCTAGGCAAGATGCACGCAGCTGTGCACAACAGCTACCATAAGTTTCTGTGGGGGCAGATATATGCAACAGAGCATTTACCAGTTAAAGCATATATGGGCCTGCTCTCTTTATGCCTTTTATGAGAATCTCCTGCTCCTATTCATGCTGGCTAGGCATCATTTTCCTCACCCTCAAAAGCTCAGCTGCGTGGTCTTCACTTGGAAGTTGGGCGGGGAGGGGGGGAGAAAAATGCAGGTGTCTTCGATCACCCAGTTCAAAAGCATTGCAGTCACTCCAAAAAGAGGAGAAATCTCTGGGCACCATCTTTGCTGAGAGAAAACAGCGGCAGCGAATAATGAGCAGCAACGTGGGGGCAAACCCTCACCAGATTTAGGAGCACCAGAAAGCTTAGAGCTCCAAATTTCATTCCTTCATTTGCTTTTTGAACCTGAAAAATGCTCCAGAGCCTTCTTCGAGTGCAGCAGGCACTGCAGAGGGCTCGAGCGCTTGACCGTCATGAGGTAGCAGAGATCCCATTCCATTTTATGTAAAGAATAAGATATTGGACATACTGTCCTGACTATGCTAAACTCTAAGCACTTAGCTGCTCTGGAGCAATAATTTATCTCTCTGCATAGAGATACATGAGACTCTCTGGTGTCTTCCTAAACCAGTGTTGTGCTTATGGATTAAACAGTTGCTGCTCAGGAATGGGGATGCTGCTGGTGTGAGCAAGAGCCTTACTCTGCCCACAGCTGATGAAATGGGATTTTAGTAACCTGTGAAAGGGAAGTTGCTAAATGAGTTACAGTGAAAATTGAAAAAGCAAGCCCTTCCCCCCCACAAAAACATTCTAGATCTGCAGGTTGGATTTCATAAGGGTTTCTAAATATTAGGGTTTTTAGATCCTGTTAGATACTTTTAGTTATTTTTTCCCCGAGAGCAGTTAGGTGCTTTTGAAAATCAAACTCGCAAACTATCAGAAATAATGCCAGGAGGGTGGAATGCACAGCCATTAAACTGAAAGACTTTAATTTGTTTACTCCTGTTAATAAAATCATTGCTGAATTAAACTATTTGTATTGCTGCAGCTAATTTAGTTAACAAGACAAATTTGTTCAGCCTCATCAGTGCAGTGTTCAGAAGCATGGTAGTGATTAATCATAGTTCATTTTTTTTCCCCCAACATTCATAAACATTCTCTGAGATTGCATAGAATCAACATAACTGGTTTTATTATTTTTTTTTATTTCTCTTTCAGAGGTGCTATGAAACGGGTGGTGAAAGCAATGAACCGAGTGGACCAAAGAAAGCACGAGAAGTTTGCCAACCAGTTTAACTATGCGCTGAATTAAATTGTTAATCATCTTCTTTGCCCTTCATTTTATTGCAAGAGCACAACTGCACAAAACCTTTATCACAGATCTTCATATTTACACTGAAATACTGTGCTGGGTGGATTTTTACTGGGGTAATTTTTTAAATTGTCTTCAACTTTAACTTATTTGAAATGAACATTAATTTTGGCAAAGATGTGGTGGTATGGAATGCCTTTAACAAGTTGATAATTATTTGAAATGTACATGAAATAGAGCATGTTTTATGACTTGTACATACTCTGGGTAAAATGTTCAGGTTTGTGGGCGGGTTTTTTCCTTCCTAAGGGTGTAATTTAATTTATACCTCCTTTGCCAACGTGTGTGTTGTAGTTTGCCTCCACTTTCATGCCTTCAGAAAAAAGACGCCTTAGAAACAGTTATATTTCTACCAGAGATGGCAACACACACAGTATTTGCTAAGCCTACTGATCTAGAAAGTGTACCACATGAGGTGCCTCCTGCAGTACCTCTGAAGACCTCTTGTGTACATGCAAAAAAAAATCCAAATCAACTGATGCCTTCAGATAATCAGTGGAGTAGAGTTTGATTTTCGGCAAACTGAAATCCAGGAACTAATTCAAAGTTGGTATCTGTGGTGGTGGAGAAGCTGAAATGACCAAGCTCATCCTGGTCTGCTTCTTGTCTTCCCAAGATGGTGTCCCGGTATCTTTCAGAACTGCATGTGGAAAGCATGTTGTGAAAGCTTGTGGAGATGCTCAGAATGTGCTGCAATCTAACTGATACCAAAAAGCTCTAGTAACAAAGTGAAGGTATGAGGTTTTAAAAATTGTTTGAGTGGAATACTGTGCTGGTGAACTGCCTGGCTTGAATCAGTGAAAATTCCACCAGTCTCAAGCCTGAGAGTGCATCTAAGGATCCAGATACAAACACAAGCATCTGGCCTCTTCTAACTCCAGGGAATTTGAACAGACATGCTGAGATCAAGTGGCTGGATCCAACGTGGTTTGTTGTTATCAGCTGGGTACTTCACCAGATCTCCCAAACCCGCTTTGCTGGCTGCAGTCATGTCTTAAGCAGAGCGAACCAAACGTTGAGCAGTTGTGCTCTTGCAAGGTCTCATACAGTTTGATGGGTGAAGGAAATCCAGAATATCAAGGAGGATAGAGTGTTTGAAAATCAATTTCAAAGTGAACTGCAGAAGTCTTCAATAAAATACTGAATACAAATTAGAATGGATTCTCTACAGCACTGGCTTAGTCACCTGTTAGAGGTGTCTCCTCATGGATCAAAAGTCTATAAGAATTTAAAAAGGAGAAAATTTTAAACTCCTCAGTGTAGCTTCTGACCACCTCAGACAAAAGCTAATTTACAGTTCTGCCAAATACCTCTTGACTTGCACAAGTACCACTTGGAAAGCGATTAAGGCTGAATCTTGATAGTTTATCTTGCAAGAGCTCTGCAGTTTGGAAGACATTCTCCTCTTCAACACGGGTATTTAGAAGATGTACTTCTAAACTACCAGAAATTGATAAATAGCCAACTGCAAGTAAGAATTTAAAAACACACCTCCTGCACTGGAAAGCAAAGCCACTCCAGCTATCAGTCTAGCTAACATGGCAGTGAAGGCTTCAGGGGAAAATGTAGGCAAGGACAAACCAAGTTGATCACCAGGTCAGCTGAATCCACTGCTGAGATGTCAGCACTAGAAAATTTCCAGCGAACAGTAGGTGCGCTTTACCCCATGGAGTTCCCATTTTAGGCCTTTAGTAAAATAAAAAAAAGCCCAACGGTGAGACTGGAAATGGAAATGGTAGAAATCAGTGAGAAAAAAAAAATGTACATAGAAAGTAACGCTCCATTATGATGTTGCTCAGTCTCATCAGTTCTAGAATTATCAGATGAAATTTCCTATCTGGACATGCGTGTCCAATTCGCCAGTTAAACCTGATCCTATATGCTCTCCCCCTTTCTTTATTAAAAACACACACGCATGCAAAAAGGTGCTTTTCTGGAGTGCTTCTTCCATGCTGTAAGACGATTTGCAGAATTAAGGTTTCCCAGCTGGTTAACTCAGACACAGGTGCATGGGCTCTGGGCCAGGTTAGTGATGACCTTTTTTTAAGTTCTTCTGCTTTTTTTATTTACTGGTTTTGTTCCAAGAACTTTCCTTGTCAAGTGGGGAATATGCTCAGTTAGATAGGATTTTTTTTTTTCCTTTTTGCCTCGAAGCAAGAAAGACCATTGACTCTTCATGGGACAACGTGTTAAACACGCATCCTCCGTAGCGCTGCCTTTATGCTAGCCTGGCCTCTTACCAGCATGCATCTTCCCCTCATCCAGTGCTTGAGAAACCCCTGCTTCTCCTCCCATGTTAATTATTGCCTCATTTAATCAAATCATTTCTCTACGAGGGCAACTCAGCACATATACACAAAACAGGTCTTAAATTTTGCCACTTAAGCATTCTCAGTAGACACAATTCAGAGGATTTTAGGAGCTTTCTCCTTTTCCTGGGTTTATCTGTAGCTCTGCTGGAGCATAATTTTAAAAAGGCATCTAAAGATGCCAGAGATCCAGCATACCTTCATTAAATAGAAATCCTTTTAAGTTCAAAGTAAATTAATCTATGTTTTAGAGACATCGCACCTCTTTGTGCATCACTTTACTTACAGCAGTTTGCAAATTCAAGGTCTCCGAGCTCACTAGCTCTTCAAACATCTCAGGTGCTAAACTGTCTGTGTGATGTTTCTCCCGGAGCTTTTCTATTCCTGTCCTTGGTTGTTCTGGGAAAAAAAAAAAAAAAAAAAAAAAAAAAAGAAAAATACAAGTATCGTTCACGTAATCTCTGCTGTGCATTTTTGTCTTTATAACTCACTCAAATGCCTTTGCAATTGTACTGTAACGTACTTGTACCTACTGGGGATAACAGCATATGATTTCCAGGTACCTAAATACCTGGGATGATGTGGCCCTTGGAGTGTTGTTAAGGTGAGTATTTGTAATACAGGTTGGAAGTTCTGTACCTCTGAAAGGACATGGTAGCTCTGAGCTGGAGTGAGCTGTGCTGGCGTATCTGAGTCATCCTTGTATAACGAGTGCTGGTTCGGTGGTAAAACAAGAACTGAAGGCAAAGTCTTCTCCACGGTTACTCTTACCTGAGCACACAGTTGCATCTGGGAAGTGAAAGCCCAGAAGGAAAAGGCTACAGGGTCTGTGAATTTAGTGCCATTTAAGGTTGGAATGAAGGGTCTGGCCCTCTAATCCAAAGCACTTGGTGATGTAAGGGAGCTTGGTACGGAGTTTGTGAGCAGGACTGCTGAATAATAATCCTTCAGCACGTCCCCTCTGGAGTTATGGAGGCAGGATGATGGGTCCATACTCATCTTTTGCAGGATACCTTGCGATTTTGTTTTCTCTAAACTTACTTGAGGCTTGGCTTTAGCAATCCAGGTCTGGCTGAAGAGTTCTATTAGGAAACTCTTACCCTTAAAAGCTCTCAGAAATGACGTTTAAAGGATTTGTTTGGGTTTGGGGTGGGTTTTTTTGGAAGCAAGACAAAGACAGTATTTGTAAGCGGTTCTGCATGGACAGTGCATCACGCCATGTAAAACAGATTGCAGGTTGGGGAGGGCATCAGTGAGTTCAGGGTGGACATGATCGAAAAAAACCATCTATCTTTTGTGGAAAACAAAACATAAACCTGTTCCACTTAAAATGGCTGTGGAAGTGGGCGAAAAGAATGTTCCTAATTGTAAGGAGCTACTAGCCAGAAGCAAGAAGTAGTATTGGATCTCAAGAACCCAGCCAGTGAAAACTCAATTCAGCAAGTATCAAAACAGTCTGGCGGAGATAGCCATCTGGTGGTCTCTAACACTCCTGCAAATACCTGGCTGTTGGTGCAGCCATGTGTGCAGCTCATCCGGTGCTATTAAACACATTAATGGGTTTAATCATGGAGGTGATGTAAATGCATCTGTAGGTTACGCATCAGGAAAGGTAAGGACATCTGGATGAAAATTGGTTGGTTAAAACCATGCCTTTTAAAATGATACTGCCGCGTAGGAAAACTTGATGCCTCTGCAGTATGGTCTGACCACGGAGAGTAGCAAGTGGGCATAGAGAGGGACCTTCTGCGAACTGGCCCAAGAAAGGTCTGGGTGCCAAAACTGCAGCCCAAGAAATGCTTTAAGTTTCCTGGGCCCCTGAGGGTCTGTACGTGCTGTGAGCTGCACTGGCCTTCCCCCCTAGACCAGAGTTCTTGGTTAACCCTAATGAGACCCAGGGAGAGAATTGTATGAGCACTTGAGAAGGCTTGATCTGGCACGTATTTTCACACCTTGCCTAACACCCACCAAATGCATAGCTTGTACAAAAATCACCGGTTTTAAATAGGCAGAGGCATTATGGTGCACCTAATAGCTCTAATGCTGGAACGCACATTCAGGCGAGGTGGAGTTCCAGGTCCCTTCTCAGCCTGGGAGGTGATGGTCCCACATCCCCTCGCAGGAGACAGCGAGTGACATGCAAGGGAGCTGGAGGGAGACGGTTTGCGTCACCCGTTCTCCTGTGGGAACTGAAACTGAACCACAGTAGGGTAAAAAAGAGCTGTCCAAAAGACAGGCCCCAGAGTGGCGCAAGGGAGTGCTGGATCTGGATCCTTGCTCCCTGGACACATACTGTGGAAAACGCCACTGAGTTTCATGGCTTCAGGAAAGAGCTCCTTCGCAGGAATTGTCACCAGCGAGAAGACCAGCCTTTGGGACCTCTTGGACACCACAGCCTGAGAGAAGGCCGTTACTCCGGTAACTACTGGAGAACAGTTTCTCCCTATGTCTGTTTTGGGATGCCCTGGGACAGCTACACTTAAATAAAACCAAAACAGCTATCAACATCTTGCTCCTGGGTGAAAATAACACTTGAATTTGCACCTGGAAACATGAAAGAGAGTTCTGTCCCATTCAGCGCCTAAGGAAAACTCCACAGTGCTGGGAGAGTGGAGTGAAGTCAAACCCCTAGCAAAGTGAGAAAGGAAGGACAGGGTAGGGGCTCCAGCTGTCAGGGGGAGGGGAGCCAGGGGTGGAAGGTGAAGGCAGGAGGGGGCAGTGGCCTCCCTGACAAGGGCCACCAACCCACAGCACCCAAACAAAAAAAAAAAAACCCACTAAGCTTGGTGATAGTAACAGAGCCAGCTGCCAGCCAGCAATTATCTGAAAATCCATTGGGACAAAAAGCAGGTCTAGAGGCAAGTGCAGGGTGAGGCTCAGTGATGTACAAAGCCGAGCACAGCACTTAGGCCACAGTTTAAGCAAGGGACTCCATCTCCTCACGGTTCCCCTGCAACCAGCTGGAGGGCTCAGGGCAGAGACCTAGGTTAGGTGTCCTGTAGCTTACCCGGGTTAGGTCTCCCGTAGCTTACCTGGGTTAGGTCTCACGTAGCTTAGCCGGCTCCATGGCAGTGGGACCCAAGGTGACGCAGCCGTGCCGTAGCAGTGCAGCCCTGCAACACCTGACAGGGCATGGGATGAGGACACAGAGAAAGATGGTGAAAGGCTAAAGAGACAAATCAGAGCCTGTTGGTACATTCAGAGCCCTAGGAGCACCCATCGTAAATGGACGTGGTGATGGTCCTTTCTGTTACTAAATCCTCTACAGAAGTAGAAGGAACTAAGAAAGGGTGGGAAGCCCCGACAGAGACTGAGGCCTCAGAGCAGCAGCCTAGATCAAGATCAGTCTGGACCCTCCCCAGCCAGCAGCACTGGTGACCCCTTCAGCTGGAATTGATGCTAGAGATCCCAAAATGGAGAAAGTTACTGTCCTTCCAGCTGCGGGAGGCTGATGCTACCCCTAAAGGAAAAGAAGGGGAGAGAGCTATTAATTACTCATGATTTTGAGCTGATGCTTTCCCTCCCTTCTTCTTCAAAGCTGGTGGAGTGGAGAAAGAAATTAATTTGTGTTCTTGTTGAGCCTTTCCTATTATAAGCTAGGTCTGGGGTAGTACAGAGCTTAAATGTGGTACCAGCTCAGGAGAGCGGTCCAGGAGTGGGTTCTGCTGTGCTGGGAGGAGGGCACAGTGGTGGTCGTGCTGGGGATAGGTGGCACCAGAGCCTGGGCAAACAGAACCAGCCTTTACTCCAGTGCAGTCTGTTTCTCCATCCCTAAATGTCTGTAACTTAAATATTGTCGTTTGCCTTTTTGGGTCGACTTCTCCTTGCTTTTCTGGCTGCCGGTGCACTGAGCAGAACCCCAGTGCTCCTGTGCCAAGTGCTCGTAGCTTTTTGCATTAGCGTCAGGAATCCCCTCTGTCAGGGGCTTAAGGAAAAAGCTCATTACAATTGTTTAAATGTGGTGCTAATTAGTTTAGATGTAATGAGCAGCATTAGGCGCCTGGTTACTTTGAAGGGGATTGTTGAATAACCATTTCTGCCGACGTTCCAATTTGCATAACGACAAGGTGTTGGCATTGCATCCACCATTAATTTGCTATATTTATAATGCCATTACGGAGCCACTCTTATCCTCACGCACTATAAGAGGTATATGGAAATATAATATATGATTCTGCTTGTTTGGAAATTGCTTTTGGCTATCTTTGAATTTTTGTAATAGTATTTTTCGCAGCTGAAGGCTAACAGCACCAGGAGGAGAGCCTGCCACGCGTTTTTCCTAGGGCTGAAATTAGCCGTTGCTTCCACGTGTGCACGAGCTTTTATTTTCCCCAACACCGAAGGGAAAGCGGCAAACGAGAGGGTGACCAGGTACACTGCAGGGCACGCTCAAAGCAAACACACGATTTTGCTCAAAATCCTCACTACGAGGCACAGCGCCGGTGCCCTAAGTCCCAAAGAACACTCCTAATTGCAAATCTCAACTTATTTAACAGGTGACAGGGAGTGCAGCTTGGCGCTAGAAACTCCCGGTCAGCACAAGGAGTTGAAAAAGCCCTGCCAGCAGCTCATCCAAACGCTGCCTTCTCTTCTTCTCGTGCAGTCTCTGGGGACCAAGGCAGGGGAAATAAAGCGTGTCACCCTGCCTGTATTACGGATGGAAAGAAGGGAAGGAGTCCCTGCACGTGCAAGACAACTTCTTGTAATGTATGTGCGTGGTTGTGGGGGGGAAAAAAAAAAAAAAAGAAAAAGAAAGAAAATGAGCAATAATCGAGATATTTGTACTAAGGTTAGTAGATTTATTTCCCTTCTCTTGAAAAAGCAGCAGTTTACCAAAGAGGGGCGAATCTTTACTGTGTCAGTCATCATCGCATATAAATATTTCTGCGACTTGTGGTTCTTTGCTGTGGTGTCATCCCTCCTTTATTGTCATTGTAAAACGTTTCTGGTGTGTGACATTTCAGAGAAGAAAATATAAAAGACGTGTTTTAAAATAAAGTCTGGCACTTTGGGTGGAGCTTTTAGCTAGCTGAGGATTTGTGGTATAATGAGACTGAATTAGTAAATTGTGTATCAGATTCAGCTGCTGTTTGTCACATTGCCTGACCCTGCACGCCCAGAATTTTGGGTCCTGGCCGTGGGTCACCCTCTGTGTCCTTGGTATTTCTCTATGGAGACAGGGTGCATCTATGGGATTTCCAGCATCCACAGGATTTCTCCCAAATGGGCACTGCAGATTTAGCAGCTCCAGCTCTCCAACGCTGTGAGAACCTCCCGAGCTGCTTTGAAGTTTGCTCTGTGTGATGAATTCACATCTCTGCCAGACAGCATCAGGAGAGTAGGAAGAGCTCTTACGGTCAGGGCTGTTTTCACTGGGACAAGCGTCAGTCTGTCCGCCGGCGTAACATGAGCGTGTGGTACAAATCGGTATGGGCAGCAGGGGGAAAAAACAGTTTGCAGAAGTGCACCAGGTAGGGAAGAAAGTGGTTTACGTAAACCTGCTTTGTGAGACAAACTGATTAGGATCCCATTTGTTTACTTGCCTGTCTCCTTCATCCTCAGCATCCTCTCTGATCTGTGCCTTGATTTACATCCCACAGTCTGGCAAATCTTCTGATGTCATAAAAAAATCTTACTTTTATTTGCTCTTAAGAAAGGTTCTACGACAACCTTATTTGCTTGGTTACTCCTTGAGACAGAACCTGAAGACCAGAACAGCCCAGGCACCGTAAAATATTTTTCCTTTGAGTACTTAAATACCTCTGTGTTTGAGCAGAACAATTTTACACATGTAACACAGGAGTTAGTGGATATTTGCCAATATAGCAGACTACAAGCAGACATCACAGCCTATTTTTGGGAAATGGATTTACGTTCATACAGCCAAAACTTTATTTTTAATGGTTTACTTATGCAGTATAAGAATAGAAACACGGAACGTGACTGTGAGTTCAGGCTGAAACAGGTTTACAATACATGCGAAAACCCCCTAAGAACTCATCTAAACAAGTAATTCACTAAACCCACATTCCCTGCTCAACTGGGAGTAACACCAAGAAATTTTGGGGGGAGTGATAATATAGAACACTGGTTTGCAGTGATTTGGTATAAAATCATTGACTGTGGTGTGTAAGTGGTGACACAAACTCTGTCAAAAGATTTTCAGGTATCTCCCAGTCACTTGGAACGTATCTGCCTGTATTTGTGGGCTTTTTTCTGTTATTTTGTTTGTAAGACATTTTACTGCTGTTTATTCAGTGAACAACTGAAACTTGTTCAGTGTAAGTTGAAATATTTGAAGTAAACCAGATGCCATTTCCTTCTCTTTTTACCTCATTCGGTCATACAGTATCACCAGCGGTAAGGCGCAATTAATATCTGAATCATTTCTCACTAATACAGGCTTGCACCCTTGGATTTAACATTGCCTTCATGGGAATTAATTCCAAAATATGCTGATGCCCCAGATCTTCTTTGGTATGTGCCAAAGGCGTCTCTTGAAAAGACTGAATCAGACTCTGAACGTGCTGCTCAGTCTGTCTGAGATGAGGATTTGTCCTCTGGCAAACACTTTGCGAAATGTCCTCTTGAATGCATTCCGCGTTCTGAATCCCCTGACGCTAAATTTTATGAATGAATAATCAAGTAATTAAAAAAAAAAAATTAACTCACGGAATGAACCAGGGCAAACGCCTCCTGCCTGTGTCATGATCCCCTTTCCCTCAGCCAGTAGCTCCTACATCTCTGTACCAGGGTCTCTCCTCCTCACTGATGACTTGCTGAAAACAAGCTGCATCCCTCCAAAAAGCTGCGTGCAGGAGCACAGAGCACCGCGTGCCGCGTAAGAGGCACATGGGGTAGGATGTGTGGGAATCAGCTTTTGGGCCTTGCTGGGGGGTCACGCTGGGAGCTTTGGGGACCTTTTATGACTATCCAGTATGATAACCTCAAATTGCTGCATCAAGCTGTTTCGTCCTCTTACAGAGCCAGACTGTTAACGGGCAGGACCGGGGTGACGGGGTTAGGATGTTCAGGCAGGTGAGAGCGTTTAGCTTCAGCACGCTGGGGGCTGAGCATCCAGGCCAGGGATGTTTCTCAACAGCCGGTGTCATCGAGCTTCTCACTGTCAAGCCTGTAACCGTGCAGCCTGGTCCAACAGCACAAACCAGCTGCAGGGCTGCGTGGTCCAGGGAGCATCATTCAAGACTTAGCCCTTTGGTGCTGGTGCTCTCCATGGCCTCCATGTAGGCACAATATCCCGTGACTCCAGACCTAAGAGTCCAGCGTGCTCTGCGCCACTGCGTGCTCCGCACACCGGGGACGACAAGCACCAGTGCTCAGGCTCTGCAGTTTTGCTCTTGATTTCTATGAGACCAGACCTCTGGATGAGGCACTGGAGCAAGGATTATCGATAATAAGGATAACACCCAACCTATGCCGAGAAAGATACCTGCGGCTCTGCTTTCAGCGCTGCTATAAAATGTGAGCAGCCTTGTTAGATGGAGTTTAATGACTAGGGATCTCAGGCTAACCGACTCCCTCATCCAACAGCTGTGGGCAATAATACTCACATGAGCAGGTTTCCCTGGCAGGATGCTGACAGACCTGGAGCAGGAAACTCATCTACTCCAAAGCTTGGAGCAGCTCCCTATTGGAACTGAATT